CTTAAAGATATATCTGAAACAACATTGGAAGTTCTAATTTTTATTTTAAGTTTCACTCAACTCACACTTGAGAAGTGTTTAAACAGACACAGTTTCAAAGAGACCTAAGGAAAAGGTGATTAGCTTGTTAAGCATTGGAATGGGTTGCCCAAGGAAGTGGCTGAGTCACCGTCCCTGGTGGTATTTAAGTATGTGTAGGTGTGGTGCTTAGGGACATTGTTTAGTGGTGATTTTGGCAGTGTTAAGTGCATGGTTGGGTTCAAGGTTCTTTCCCAACCTACATGATTCTGTGATTTGACTATCTTAAAGCTTCCTCAGAGAATTCAAGGTGATAGGGTTAAGATAAACCATAGATGGCTTAAGACTTATTCGTGAAATGAAGCACTTATTCCTTTTGTGTTCCATGTTACTTCAGTAGAAGTAACTGAAATACATTTTTCTCTTGTTCACTTGATGCATGAGGGGCAAGATTTACAGCATTTGTGAAAAGTGTTAATCCTGTTTTAATTTAGTTCTGGTTTTCTAATGAATCCTTTATTTTCTATTGAATCTTCTTTTGACAAAGGGATGAGCGAAAGATTGAGACAGTTTGGTTATTTTCACCATAAATGTTGTCTGTGTGTTGAGATTCTGAAATTTGTTCTTTCTACTGAATGGTATAATACATGTCAATTTGACTTACATGTTAATAAAATTCACTGTATATCTAAACATATTAAATAAGCATACTTCAAAAGGTGGTGGTTTTTAATTTAAAATAAATTTATTTATTTTGTTGGCAGCAGTGATGAAAACTCAAAGGTGTTCATAGGTGTTTTTATGAATATACTAACAAAAAGGGGACTAAGGAAAATCTATCCTTTATTGGATGTGAAGGGTAACATTGTAACAAAGGATGAGAAAGTGTGAGGTGCCTTTTTAACCTCAGTCTTCAACAGTAAGACCAGTTATCCTCATGGTAACCAGCCCTTGGAGCTGGTAGAAAGAGATGGGGAGTAGAACTGGCCCCCTGTAATCTAGAAAAAGTAGTTAGTGATCCATTGAGCCTCTTCATAAGTGTATAGGGCTGGATGGAACCCACTAGAGTGTACTGGGGGAGCTGGCAGAAGAGCTTGCCAAGCCATTTTCTATCATTATTGTTAGTCCTGATAAACTGGGGATGTTCCAGACAAACAACAACTGGAGGTTAGCCACTGTGGTACATGTATGAGGTTCAGTAAGGCAAAGCGCCAGGTCATGCACAAAAACCCCATGCAACTTTGCAGGCTGGGAAAAGAGTGGCCTGAATGTGGCTCATCAAAATAGGATCTCAGACTCCAAGTCAACAGCTGGCTGAATATGAGCCAGTGATGTGCCTAGGTGGACAAGAAGGCCAATGGCATCCTGGCGTCTATTGAAAATAGCATGGCTAGCAGGACTAGGGAAGTGATTGTTGCTCTGTACTTGACACTGTTAAGGCCACACCTCGAGTTTTGTGTCCTGTTTTGGGCCCCTGTCTTCAAGAAAGTTATTGAGTGTGTCCAGAGAAGGGCGATGAAAGTGGTGAAAGGTCTGGAGCACAAGTCTGATGACAAGTGGCTGAGGGAGCTGGGGTCATTCAGCCTGAAGAAAAGGAAGATCTGGAGGTACCTTAGCACTCTCTATAACTACCTGGAAGGAAGTAGGAAGGTAGGGGTTGGCCTCTTCTCCCAGGCAACTGGCAATATGGCTAGAGGAAACGGGCTCAAACTGCACCAGGTGAGGTTCAGATTGGACATGACGAAGATTTTTTTTACTGAAAAGGTGGTTAAACATTGGATTGGAATGCTTGGGGAAGTGGTAGAGCCACCTTGGGGATGTTCAAGAAAGGACTGCATGTTGCACTTAGTGCTATGTTAAGTTGGTATGGTAGTGTTCAGTCAAAGTTTGGACTTGATCTTAGGATTCTTTTCCGACTTTTATGATTCTGTGGTTCTAAAGACTTTTATGATAATTGTAGAAGTAGTCAACAAACTGCAGATGACAGAGTACTTGTCAGTTTGCTTTTGTGGACACATTTTCTCCATTGATTCTCTTTCAAGTGAAGCTGAAATACTATTTTACATGATCAACATTACCTGTCAAATTGCGATGACAAATATACACAAATGCAAAAAGAGAACTGTATTAGAGAAACAGGAATTTATTGCAATCTGTCACTACCAGACTATTATTAGAAAGCTTTGAAATAGGCAGAATATTGATTATAAGCACTGAAATAGGTTTCCTGTTCTTCAGATCCTAAGTTCTGCATTTTTCTGTTTGAAGCCTATTAGGTGAGTTTAAACAAGACATGTTTGTTAGAGATGCTGTGCTCTTTTTTATATTAGAGTAAAGTCAAGTAACTCTGTTTAGAAATAGAAACATATAAAGGACAGCTTCACTATTCTCTTACCTACAATTTAAAATATTGTGTAGTGCTGAGATACTGATTTGTATGTCCAGAACTGACTAGCCAAAACTATAGTCTTTAACCTCAGAATTATGAATACTGATTAACATTTTTTTTTTTTTTTTGCTAGCCTTTTGGTGTTTAGATTAGTGTAATGATGCCCACTCCAGTAACTCCAGTGACATTATCTTCTGCATGAGTGCAAAACAATAGTTAAAATTTCTCATCTGTCTTTTTAAAGAGATTGAAGAGACTCCTTTCTGAAGGGACTGGAAGTACCCTGAAAGGAGTACTAATATTTAGTTAATAACTACAGGTACTAGAGGTCAGTTGGTGAGTAAGTCAATAGAAGTGTGGTCTTGGCAAGACTGAAATCAAGCAACCTTATTTTTATTTTAACTTGGGAATGTACCTTTTAATGAATGACTTATAAAAACTTCAGCAGAAATAATGGGGTGATTTCAGGAATGGAGCTAAAAGAAAAACAATGTTCCAAAAATCTTGGAGAGAAAATGTAATGTCTTAAGCAAGAAATCCTAGTGCTCATATGCTTTAGCAAAATGATAAGAGGAATTAGGATGTATTTATTTCAGGGCAGAGTTGCTTTTTTGTTGTCTGTGAAAAAGCTAATTGAACATTTCTCTAAGTACAGTGGAGCCCATTAAAGTGGAACCCATAAATGCCAATTTCTCAGATAATCTTGTGTGAAACCAGCATGTTCCACATACTGTGAAACATCTCAAGGTGTTAGTTCGTGAGGGATATTCTTTTGTGTTGACAGTGTTCCTTCTGCTGGCCTCGCATTAACCTTGGTTGGAAGAGGGGCACCTAACCAAGCTGTTGGACTTGAAGTAGTGGGAGACCAAATATAAACTGTAGAGAAACAGAAAAATGAAAGTTGGAGGATGTGGATAGAAGGAGATATATTGGATGTGTGAATTCCTCACCATTTCTTCTCTGGACTGAGGAACTAATTTTAGAGCCCTAAGTTTTAGAACAGTTGTTATCTTCTGTGTCTCTTATTACAATATGTGGTTTCTATGTCAGGATACCAGTAAGGATAGTGATACTGTGGAGAGTGGTAGGAAATTGGTGGGAAACCCATAGTCCCTCTTATCTTTGAGGGACTGAGATATATTTCTGACTGGTGTACAACCAAGATACTATGTTGCGTTGAGACTAGTGTATACATTTGCCAGAGCTTGCTTCTGGCATTTCATGTAAGGAGCAGAGGGAGGAGACAGGAGAAAAGAGTACGGCTTGTTCTCCAACTAACTGTTCTTTAAATTCTGTAGTGAAGAGACTGTAGGTGCTATTGCTGTAATCTGTGAGTATAAGGCCAAAAGGTCACACAGGCAAAGTGGCACAGGCAAGGATTTGAGATTATTTGGAAATGCCAGTGTTGTGACAGTATCAGCATGTAATAGTTTTTGTAGTTTGTGGGCTGAAAGGCAATGAAAGTAATGCTGTATTTTTTGAGAGGTGTGCCAGAGCAGGTCAGTAGAGCTAAGATTAATGCAATTTATATTTCCATAAGGAATGGATTAAGTATAACATGTCATGGAAGGGTCTCCACAACCATTACAAAGTAATTCCTTTTGCATTGTATTTCATAAATTCCTTCCTCAACTACTAGAGATTTTTTGCAGGAGTCAGTAAAGTAATAAAAAGGTTAGCTGGAGGGTTATTTTATTCTATACTTAAAACCCTTACATGAAGTGCAATTATCAAGTGTTTTTTTGGAAACTAGAATGGGTAGGGGAGAAATTAGTATATGTGTTAAAGACTAATAATTAAGAGTTAAGAGATGGAATACTATACCAAGATTAGACTGTTAAACTAAATTTCCTTAAATGTTTAACATCTGCAGCTTTTGGGGGTCACTTGTTGCTGTCCCCTGTCCCTCCCCAGCCCCCC